ACTGTGATGTGCAGAGAAGTTGTGCATCCCAGTACCCCAGAGCTGATCTGCTAATTACATTTGCAATTATAAACACCATCACCTCCCTGCACAGGGACCAGACCACACCAGCTGATGGGGCAACCAGGATGTAATCCCTCCCCAGGCCACCCCAGCCACGCCAGGAGACACAGCGACCAGAGATGACCCGCTCCGAGGGACGACCGAGGGCATATGATGGTTCCCAAAGTTTGAGGCTGCCGGGGCTGAGAAAGGGGAGACTTACTAGAGATGAAGCCCAATCAGGGGTCACCAGCACTTACAAAGATCTTTGATTTATCCCTAGAAATCAGCAAACGTCCTCAAGGGCAAGCAGGCAGGATGTGGGCTCAGGTTTGTCTGGTTCCAGCCCATCCCCAAGTTGTGCACTCATGGCTTCCTGGCATGGTCTGTGGGCCCTCTACTCAAAGCCCCCTCCTGTGCCCACACACCCTGTAGAAACTGCAGTGCCTGCACAGGACATTAGAAGTTAAACACAAAGCTGCGCTGGGGTCCTCATGGGAATATTCAGTCAAGGGCCACTGGGCTCCAAGACAGAAGCTCCCAGCAGAGATGTAGGGAGCATGGGCTAATTCCGCATAGACCTCCTGGTCAAGCCGGATGCACTCAGAGAGCCTTACCTTCCGGGAAGGACAGACAAAGCCTCATGACGGCCAGTAGGTACGGGGAGGCGTCACCATGGGGTGTTCAGGGTGTCGGTTGGACTTCACTTTGGAGGAGTAGATTATGGTCTAAACATCTGCTATTTTTTCCCCTTAAATTAGAATCACAAATAATCTTACTCATGTTGAGGAAGCCACTAAAGCATTTGGGAAGACAAGCTCTGGGCACGGCGGAACTGTGTTAAAGCATCCTGTGTCTTGTCTGTCTGACTGTCTTGCAAATTCTCTCTCTTTTTGAATCCTGCTTATTCACACAGCCAACTCCATCGCCCATCCTCAATGCACACACGTTCTCAACGTCTCGTGCACATGCACACACCCCCTTCCTTTGGCCTGCTAGACTTGTACAGATCTTTCCAGTTCTAAGCGCTCAGAAGAAACGAGGCATTTCACAGAGGACCGAGACAAACTTTTTCAGTGAGTTTTAGGTTCTCTGTAAAAACCATTTGGCAAAATGTCCAATTATCAGGAACATGAATCAAGCAGGCCGGAGAAAGTGACAAGGGCTGGGGGCACTCTGAGAAGGTAGGGTTGTGACATGAAATCTCTATCACAGTCACTTCTTTCGCAGCCCTTTCCCCGAAAGTCCCCTCCGTCCCTCCTCTCTCGGACTAAATGGAATATTTATTGATTACTCCAAATCAATAGAATGAAAACGTTCCTGTTTGGTGGGCCCGGTTGTTTCTTCATATATATATATATATATATATATATATATATATGTATATATTTAAGACACATCTTTTCATATGTCCCAGTTACTGGTAAAACAGAGGATTGTTTCTAAAATGAAGCGAGTTGGGGGAAATAATAAGCCCTGAGAGGAAATTTCCAGTTGATGTCAGGATGTCACTGAGCTGGAAAGAGCCTTGCCAGGGACTGGGCCTTCCTTATTGACTTACTGCTTCCTCCTAGTTTATTGCCCTCGGGCCTGAACAAGTCCAGCCTCCTATCACCCCATCCTCTTCCATGGCAGCCCACACCTCCAGAAGGGTGGCAGGCACATAAAGGTTTATCTCCTAGAGCCCCTCCTTTGGAAAACCAAGACTAATGTCCTCACTCTGATTTATTTTTAAATGTACCATTAAAAATTAATTTCCCCCTTTGTTTTTCTCTGGGTCACTGATTCTGAATTACCATGTGGCATTTTTCCTACGTGTGAACCCACATGTTTTACCTTCGGGACAATTTGTTCTTTGTTTCTTTAACAGCCACAAAGTGGTCACTAGCGGCCCCCACCTCCCCAACCCCCTGGGTTTTATGCCGAGGGTCTCCAGCTGGTCCAGTCGCGGACACATTTGTACACAGGCAAATGCAGGCCAGCACACGCACTCCCACTCCAGCTGATTATATATGTACATAAAATATTGATTAGAAATGGTAATGGAGTCACCTACAGGATTGGATACAGGAAAATGAAAATGAAGGAGAGAAAGGTATGAAGGTGTGTGTGTGTGTGACACACACACAGAGAGAGAGAGAGAGAGAGAGAGAGAGAGAGAGAGAGAGACAGACAGAGAGAGAGACAGAGAGAGAATTTCTCACCTGGGAAAGTAAGAATAACCTTAAAGCAATAAAAATATGCTCTGTGTATGTTAGCAGGTAAGGAGGGCTGAATTGCGGTCCCTGTGCCCTTGGGCTTTCTCCAGTCTGGGAATGTCGACTAAGCCACATGGGAAGAAATTATGTACAGAGCACACAAACCCACTAGTGTATATGTTCTCCAAGAAACATCAGCCCTGAAATGAATGGATTAATCCTACTGTTCTTCCAACAAACCAAAAACTGCAGTCCCGTTTTGCTACTTTGCTACCGGTGGCTCTAAGGCCACTTGGGATGAAGCACTGGGGTTGAGGTCAGAAAGATGCCTCCTCCTACACCAGCCTCTGACCTCCACAAGCTCGTCCTTGGAGATTTGTCCCCCTGCACCACAGCAGACGTACAACCTCACCAGAAGGCACACATCTGTACATGGGGCCAGCTCACCAGTGCCCCGTGCTGCTGCCCGGCAGGTCCTGGGCTTTCAGAAATGGCATCTCACAGGGATGCTTAGTTCCTCAGTGGAAACAGTGTGTATATTTCTGGCTTTTCCTGTGCCCATGGAGTTAGAAGCTAATTCTTTGCAAAGACACCAGGAAGGGTCAGGAATCCAAACCACGGTCAGGTTTACTTTATAAGTAATTTCCACTTAAAACCTTTCCCAGACACTGAGGACCTCCGCTCCCATATTCCCCTCTGCTGTTTACCTGACATCCCCTCTTTGCTCATATTTCTCCTCAAACTCAAGCCAGGGTTGCCCTCAACTCAGTGAATTACCCAGCTGCTAAATCCTCCATCTCTCCTTGCTTCCCTGGTCCACACAAGCAAAGGATGGACTTCCCCCATTCGAATTTTCATATTTATTGTCTACGACTTGAGCCAGGGACAAATACATAGATATTTCAAGCTCAACGAAAGAAGTCACCTCTGGAGAGAGGGAGCCTAAATAATTTAAATATCCAATATTTGTCACACTTGGTAGTTTTATGGGAGGAATTGCCCCACAAACATCAAACCGTGTTCGCAGCCTCACTAAGCCACGCTGAGGTTTCTCTAGCGGCTCCCACTAGCCCTTTAGGAGGGAGCACCTTGTGGCCCTACCCCACCCCCACCCCACCAGCCACGCAAGCTGGGATCAGTGTAACCTTTAACAAGAATGAAAAGCCACTTTTCAAGCTGATGGAAATCCGAATCCATTATAATTAAGGATAGCCTTCCTCTCCCAACCCATGTGCTGCTTTCCGACACTGTCTAAATTCTACACCTGAAAGACCCAGGGAACTCCTAAAACTCGAACCAGAGAGGTCAGCGTGGAGGCTGGGACAGTCCAGGCATTGACATGAGATGCTGCTGTGAGGTTGCCTCCTCTCACGCGTGGTCTCCCCCGGGGTGGAGGTAGTCTGTGCAGCGAGAGGGGGACGGTCAAACACACTTCCTGGAACCCTATATTATCCACAGTATTTATTTTAGGGATGCTGGTGGTTCTTTGTGGTGGTGGTGTGGGGGGGGTGCTAAAAAATAAAAAGAGGATGGCGGAGCGAGTACTGTCTTTGGTAGTTTAGTTTGCTTAAGAAAAAAAAAAGTGGGGGGCGGAGGAAGAAGAGCACGACGTTGAGCCTGTCCTCCAGAACATAGAGTTTTCATTTTATTATTATTTTTGAAGCCTTCCGAGGGACCACTCCGCACACACAGCCAGACGCGGGTACACCAGCCCGGGACGCGGCGGAACTAGGATCGCCAGAGAAGAGGCCCCACAGGTACCTCGGCAGGTGGGGTGTTGACAGTGGAGGACCCTGGGAGGAAAACCGCGGGTGGCCAAAGCCCGACCCTGGAGAGCCCGGACTGGACGTGCGAAGCAGCCCCCGCCGTTCGAGGGGATCAGTTCTCCACTTTCCCACTCTGTGTGCGCGGCGCGCTGCCCAAGCCCGGGGACCTGCGCTTCGTGCGAGTCCAATTCCACAGCCCGGGCCGCCGCCCACGCCCACGCCTCTCGGACCACCCCAAGTTCCCTACAGGCGAGTGAAAAGCTGTCCCGGGGTACAGAAATCGCGCTGGTCTGTTCCGCGGCGCGCAGCACCCCACAAAGCGGCGAACCAACTTTGCCTGCGCTGCCGCGCCGGGCGGGTGTCCCTACTCCCGGCGGGATGCGGACTCCCTTCGCAGGGTGTGCGGGGCGCAGTGCGCCCAGGGCCACGCCGCCGGCACCCCTGGGGTGCCTTGGCTCCACCGTGCCACGTGCGCGCCCTCGGGGTTCCCCACCGGGACCTCAGGGTTAGGCAGCGCCGGCCGCCTGCAGTTTCCAAACCCGCGCGGCACCTAAGATTTCACCCCCTTTCTGATCAGTTTTGGTCCCCAGTATGGAAATAAATATTAAAGTCAAAGGGCCCCTGGGGAGGCTTTATCGGACAGGACATCCTTGCGACTCTCCTGCACCTGTTCTGGGCTGGTTCTTCCTCATTCCACAGAAACTCAAATATTTTCTCAATGCGAGAGGAAGACAGAGTGAATGAGAAAGCGTCGCTCTTACCCAAAAGTCAGGGTTTGTAAAGGGGGGTTGCGAGGGAAAAGTTAGAGGCGGGTTACCCCCAGAAGGAAACCCAGGGAGTGTGTGGCTTTCCCCCTCCAACATCCCCCAAGTGCCCTGGGGGTCCGGTCCGGGCCACTTCAAGAATGCCTAGAAGAAATGCAACATCCAGGACAGAGAGAGCTGGACAGGCAGAAGGACAGACCGACTGACCGACCGAGAAGCAGAGCACCTACTGGTTGTGGTAGCCGAGGGGGTCCGGGATGCAGAGTTCTGACACGTCCATCAGGCCCGTTTTAGCATTCCCAGTTGGTAGAGAAAGACGACGGGGAAATCACGCGGACGAGCAAGTGAAGGGCACAGGCGAGGTGTGAGTCCGGGCCGGGGCACAGTGAGCGGGAGAAGGCAGAACGGGAGGAAGCGCTGTGACGGGGCGAGAGGGAGGCAGAGTCGTGCGCGCACAGCCCAGTGCTCCCACTCCTGCACACACTCCGAGCGGGCAGAGGGGATGGGAAGCCGTGGAGGAGGCTTGGGGACCCGAGACTTGGAGCCTACTAACCCTACTGTAGCTTTAAGACTGGGAGACTGATGTATGGTTTGGCTCCTATTGGCTATCTCTCAGGGGCTGGACTTAAAGTGACAGAATCAAGCAGGGGTGGAGAGAGGAGGGTGAGCCAGAGAGACTTCAATGGAATCCGACTATCAGGCGAGGTCCCCACCTCCTGAGGAGCAGGAGGACTGGGCTGTAGAGCCACCAGGCCTGCCCTCTGGCCATTAAAGGAAAAACAAAAAAAAGTCCACCTGGCTGATGGGACTAGGGGGGTTGAAAGATTTGCTGCTTAACGTATACCCCCTGCTCCCCATCCTATCTTTTTAACTGGCAGGCCTAGCAAACTCACCTCTCAGCCTTTTGGAATGGGTCTGTTTTCCAGATGAAAAACGAGTCACATTTCTCCACTCACATACCAAGGAGAAGAGGCCAGCGCCTTAGAAATCCACAGCCTCAAACCCTGTGTTCAGTGCACAAAAGTGCAAAGGGTCAGGGCGAGCAGGTGAGGCACAGTGAGAGAGAGCAGCAGAAAAACAAACTCCCTACCCAGCTCTCCTCACCTGGGCCAGTTGGTTCTGAACCGCTTTCATATGGCTAGATGCACGCAGGGTGTGCATCTGTAAAATGCTCTCTAGGTGTACAAAATGATGCTCTCTTCATTGGCAACGCTCAGAAATGTACCCAGGATACAGACACGGGCAAATAAATTCCTGTCTGCTTAGGGAAATACAATGGTGGTAAAAACAACCAACTTACCTGCCACATCCACTTTGGGGCACACAAGTAGACACTTCAACATACACACCTGAATCCCCAGCTATGAACACACCTGTATCCCTGTCTGCTGTTCCCTCCATGAACCCGAATGTTATGAGCTGCCACTGTACCAAAACAAGCTGTAAGTCATGCCCCAATTCTTCTTCTGGGGCTTGTCATCTTTCAAGATGTGCTAGCCACGGTGATAATAATCAATTCGATGACTGAAATGAGCGTGGGGATGGGGGTAGGTATAGAATTATTTAAAGGGGGGGAGCCCTCAGGAGGGAACACCACCCTATTTTCCTACATTCTACAGAAGACAATGAGCAGTAGGGGGGAAGACATCATTTTACCATCAAAATCATGTCTAAATGGAGTGTCACTGCAGGCGATGTTCAAGTACTCCAGGAGTAAAAGCAGCGAGGGCTGTGAGAAACCCCAGGAGAGGCCAGTCGCTCAGAAGGGGCTGGGGACTGGGCAGCGAGACCGCAGATGATGCCTGACTTGGATAAATGGAAGCGCGTGCAGGCTGGGAAGCAGCTGAGATTTTTCATAAGTGCTGAAGTGGAGGAGAGCAGGATTCTCCGCGTGGGGCTCAGGCAGGTATCTCACAGAGAGATGGATGAAGATGTCTGCCCTGTCAGCAGAACCCCTAGCAGCCAGGGTTGTTTTTAATCACATAGGTACTTGGTCACATTAGAAACGGAAAGAGGGCACAGAAACAGTTTCTTTGAGCTTCTGTGCAATCACAGTCTCTTGCCAAGACCTCAGTACTAGAGTCCCTGCATCCTTTCAGGCTCCGGAAAGCCCTTCTCCAAGCGCACAGCAGCCAGAGAGCGCTTTGTAAAATGCACATGCAATGTACCATTATTGCAGTTCAGAAAGAGGCCCCAGTCCTTTCTGTGGCCTTTAAGGAAGGCTCCACATAACAGGCTCCTGTGTGCCCCTCTGCACCTCCCTCTGCACCCCTCCTCAGCCCTTGTCACGCTCCCCTCAGTCTCTGCACCTGCCACCTAGAACACCCCACCTTCCAGACCACACCAGAACCTTTTGCTCTTCAGTTTGCTTCAGGTAATTTCTCAGTTTGCAATTATGTATACGTGTATTGGTATGAATAATACCCCATCCTGTCTCCACACACACACACACACACACACACACACTAGATTATAAGCTCTGCGAAGGCAGGACCATGTCTGTTCTGTTTACTGGAGAATCCCCAGTGTTTAACGGTGCCTGGAACATAGCAGTCGCTTGATAAAAATTTTGCTGAATGAATTGGAAAACTGCAGCAGTTTGGGGCGGGGTGCCAGATCTGGCTGAGGAACAGGCCAGCTGCCCCGGCAGGGGGTTAGGCCCTGGCTGGTTGTATGGGGTCAGTTGGCTCCTTGCTTTGTGTGCATGCACCATGTTTAAGTGGAGATAGCACACACTCAGTGGACCATGAAAAGAAAGACCACCTCTCAGCCTGGAGCAGTGGCTACAAAGCCACTGGGGGCAAATGAGGGGAACTGGAAGGTCTGTGTTGGTTAAAAATCTAGGCTAATGTCTGCACATAATCACTGTCTGCATCCCAGGCCCAGGGATGAAGGTAACTGAGGGCCTCACTTCTGGGCACTAGCTGGTTGTCCCCCAGGGCCAGAATGAGGTCCTCGAGACCCTGTCCTCCTCAGATTGCTCTCCTCTGCTGCGTCTGTTCAGTCTCCTCACACATAGCCCTGGGACAGAGTTCTTCTCCTGCCTCCTGCTCCCCCCATAAGCATGAGCCTGCAGACTCTGCTACAGGGGAGATGAGGGCCCGCCCAGCAGGAACACCCTGGGGTCCTGATCCAGGCTGGCAAGCCCAGGCAACCATGGTCAGATCACACACAGTTCACGGGACCAGCCTTTCTCCTGCTCTGACCTCAGCCAGCTCACAGGAGATAGGATTCCTTCCCAAAGCCGGGGTCCGATTCCACGCCTCTAGCTGGAGAGACGGCAGTGTGGGAGAGGGCAGAGGACTCTTAGATCTGGTCCTGACTACTCCGAGCGACCTTACCAAAGTCATCTCTTTGAAAACCAAGGCGGGGGAGGGGGGTAAGTGGGGGGAGTAGGATGGGCAGGTCTCTTGGGTTCCTTCAAATTTGAAATTCATTCAACCAATCATCACTTCATACCTCCACTGCTCACCTAGAGCAGGTGCTGTTTGTAATCCCCCTTTAGCAAGAAGCTCTAAGCCACCCTTTCACTGTTCTATGTTCCAATAGTGGCACACCCAAGCGGGCAAGCCAGCCAAAAGGGAACGGGACAAAAGGCATTAGACACAGTAATTGTGGAGAGCATCAGGGGACAGCAGTTCACTTTGTTTTTGTGACAAACACCCTTAAATATACATTTATTACATTCACAGAACCTTACAGGTAAGAGGGCTCAGGGAATCAGAATCATCATCAGATTTCACAATTAAGGAAATTTGTAAATTTCACTGTGTGGTGGAGTGACCTACCCAAGGTCACACAGTGAGTAACTAGCAAAGCATGCCGTCTGTGGATTTCTACTTATCCAACTCCTAAATCTTTTTACACAAGTCTCTTTACTTTCCCTCCTTCCCCAAGTTCAAGGTCTTTCCTAAGGAATATGAAGTCAAACCAGAACAGTGCCACGGGCAACACCCTCCACACACATGGCACTGGGAGATGGTGGGGACCCAGGCTTCTGTGTCCACTCCCTTCTCCAAACGGTTTCCTGGGTGGTAGTTTTCAGGAGGCAGGTAAGTATTCCTGCCTATTCTGTTTCCCACACCTGTGTTTCTCTGGATACAAAAAGCCACAACTGTGCGGTAGATAGCCGGACACAGGTCAACACTAACCACTTCTCTTTCTCATCCCAGCCTGGCTAAGTCCTTAGAATGGGCTGTACTAACACCTGCACCTGGATTTCAAGGGTCACCTGAGTGGCCTTGATCTCTGCAGCTGACTCCAGCACAGCACCCCTTGACACAGGTCTGGTGAAAATCCCCACCTTTAACAGCACCTAGTCTTGGCATGTACCTTTCCTGTCTTGAGGCAGCCTCCCCTGACGCCAGTCATTTACGCACACATAAGGCGGCAGCAGCAAGCAGTGCCTCTCGGGTCCTTGAATCCCCTCCCTGTGGTGTGCTGCTCACAGCCCAACAGTAAGAGGCAGCGTTTCTCATCTTTCAAGCCAGCCAACTTAGTAAGAGCTGGTGGATTTAGCACGGGCCCCAAGAGGGCAGAGGACCTGATGGCTTCATCACGAAAAGATAAGGCCCAACAGGGATGTTTGGAGTCTTCCCCAAGCTGCCTAAGTCCAGTGAATGTGGGACACTAATTGTTTGGTGATGCCATCCCTGTCCCTTGCCCTCACCCACGTTCCCCGAACCCAAGTTTCCAGAAGAGAATGATGCCTTGGGAAACACACAAGGTACACAGCCACTTCTTACCACCAGCCCAGGAAGGAGAGGATGCGTCTGTGAAACTGTCTGAATCACACTCCAAACTCGTTTCTCTTCCACCCCAGGGTCAGCGCCGGGGGAGGCAAGTCGGGGAAGTGCATCCATTGACAATCCACGACGACTAAGGAGGGCCTGGCCTAGACAGTGAGCCTACCCTGTGCATCTCTGGGGACTCTGACGATCAGACAGGGGCTCCATGGTCTCTGGACCAGGGGAAAGGGCCCTGACCACACACCTCTGTGGGCCCACTCCCTTCTCACATGCTTAAATTTGGGGTGTGGAGTTATATCCCTGAGTGGTGGTCAACAGACTGGCAGCCCATTGGCTGGCACACATCCCAAGGATCATAATTAACTGATAACACTAATACAATGTGAGTTTGTACTCCCATAATAGTCTCCTGCTGACAGATAAATGCTGCAGAAACATGATGGCTTTTCCTGAAGCTGTAATGGGCCATTATTGGGGCAAGAAGGCTCATGTCCTATTAGCGCTGCCACCATGACACCAAAGATAAAATATGAAGGGGATATCTTGAGTGGATAAATGCTTAGGTTCCCTCCCACCACCACCATCATCCATTTCATTATCTGAAATTCCTACCAGTAGTCTTGAAATAACTTCCAAACACTTCAAACATCCATTATTATTATTATTATTATTATTATTATTATTATTATTATTATTATTATTTTCTGAGCCTCAAGATGCTATTCTCCCCAACACAGCTGAATAGTATATTAAAGTTCTCTGTTTGCTGAAAAGACTGCTTCCTCCTGCAGGCGCTGTGCAAGATGGCAGCTGCAGTGAGCAGGCAGGCTGGGGGAACCAGTAAGGTGAGATATGTCTCTCCACAGAAACAAAGCTCTCTCTCCCTCCTACTCACCAGGAGAGCAGGAACACATTACGACAGTGATAACTGTGTCTCCTGCCAAATTTCTGGGGGGAGGAGGAAGAGAAGAGGAAGAGGAGAAGGCAGTTGGAGGCAGAGAGGGGGAGAAAGGCTGACTACGTCTTGATAGTACCTCAGGGGCTTTGAACAACTAGCTATTGACTGAATGAATGATCTGCCTAATTCAATACTTTCCATTAGAGTGGATTGTGGGGTTT